CTAACAGCAAAAGCACTTCAGCTTTGGAGACTTCTGCCAACTCAGCTGCGCCTATCAGGGCTTGCACCTTGTCTGAGATAGCTCTTGGCAGCGGCTGCCTGTGCCCTGGGCATGGCTCTTAAAATGACCTGGGCTGAGGCACCTTTTAGGTGACCTTGTGTGCAATGTGTCCATTAGTAAGGCCTTGCAGATTGGACTGCTGAGCTCCGTAACCTCTATTTCTTGCTAAGGTTTTTTTTTGTTATTTTAATCATACGGTAGGAATCCTGAGCAGCACGTAGTGAAAAACCTGTGGGATGCTCTTTTAGCTTTTAAAATAATGACAAGGGATCATTGTGAATCGGGCACCCTCAAGCAGAAACCAGGTCATGAAGTTTCATCATCTAATGTCCCTGTTGAAAGTGAAAACGCACTTCTTCAGACTAAAAGCAAAACTGAAGACTTAGAGGGGTTTTTGACTTTCAGCCCAAATAATACCTTTTTTTTTTTTTTTTGAGACCTAGACAGTCTTGTAGGGATGAACTACGACTTGATCAAAACTAAAGCTAGAAAAATGGCAATGAAGAATTAAAATAGAATAACTTATATTTAGCATCGTGGCTTTAAGGCAGATTTGTGCAGCTAGCAAGATGCAAGTAATAAAAAAGAAACCATCAAATGTGGAAAATGTACTTTCTTAAGTACTTCTGAAAACTCTGATAATAATGTCCCAATCTGGAGTTATAGCGGCAGCCTGTGTTTTAATCCAGGTATGTAGCATTCATTCGTAATAAAAAGCATTCCCTTCTGAACCTGATCGCATACCCAGCCCTGTGAGGACAGATTTTTGACTGTAGTTCCCATGTTACAGTTTGGCAATTTGCTCTGCATTGATTAATGTTTGCACATGGCTTCCCCCGAGCCTTTTCCTCCGTCCTCCTGCCCTCAGCCTGCTCCGCCTCCGTGCCATCAGCCCCCGCCTAAAACAGGGATCCAGCACAGCGAGTGCCTATACGTGAAACAGACTTCTTTGCGTTGTGTTGTTTTTCTTTGCGAGGGAGAAAAACAGGGAGTCCTCACACAAGGGAAGACTTTGTTTTTCCTCTTTCTGTTGTCTGTGATCCCCACCTGTTGTATATATGGTAAAAATATCTGGGATTTATAACCCAGCAACAGTACGCAGCCAGAGTCATGTGTGACCGGGTCAAACACACACTCGCTGGAGGGTCATGGCCAGGTTACTAAGTCAAGGCTGGCAAGTCTCCACGATAATGTTTTCTTTCTCTCTCACTCCTTTTTTTTTTTTCTTCTCCCCTTGTCTGTCTTCCAAACAACAGTTTGGGAAAAAAAAAAAGCAACCCAACCTGAAAAAACTCGTAACAATGCAAACTATTTAAGCATGACAAATTCAAAGAAGTTTTCTATTTAAAAAAAAAAAAAAGGATGGGGGGGTTGAGTCAATGATATTTTGGATTTAATTTTATAGTATAGTTTTATGTGGCACATGAAAGAGAGAAATTTGTATTGAAACAATTGAGACCCACTTTCCCAGTTCCTGACTCTTTCCTGGAGGATGATTAAAAGCAGACTTTTTTTTTTTCCAGACGAGACATAAAAATTAAATGATCTACAGTATATAGTTATTTTTTCAAATGTTTGGAGGCTTATAAATAACTTCTACAATCAAATGCACACATACAAGCAGCAGAGAATCTGGTTCTAATTACTTGTACTTTAGTTGAACTTTGGCGTTTCCTTTGACTTTCTGCCTAATGTATGTGAGCTGTGTGCCTTGCACTCCTGCAGTGAATTCACAAAAAAAAAAAAAAGAGAGGCAAAAAATCCAGACTCTCGTTGGTGCCAACAAAAATGAGGGTTAACAGAATGTTTTGACCAAATGCAACACTTTGCTATTCACCCTAATTAGCTGAAATTGCTGCTTCCCACCGGGGACCCTGAGCTCAGTATTCAAAATTCCCTTGGGGCTATCCAGGAAATGCCATTTGCTTTACAACTTCTTATTCTTTTAAGGCTCAACTGTCCGAAGTGTGCATTAACATACAAGCTTAATAATCTGAGTTTCGAGCGAAACGCCAGGCATTTCATAATGCCTGCCTGCTTCTACTTGGTCACAAAGTAAAATGCCTCCTCCATCTGTCAACATGGTTTAGCTGGCAGTAAATTAGCTCTCACAAAACACACTGTGCTTTTAAAGATCCTATCTGCTGCTTTATCTAACCTTTAGAAATATTTCAGACATCTGAGGAATTGTGAAGCCACGATTGTTTGAGAGTCCCTGTGTGCTGAGGCACCATTCAGGTGTTGGGTGACGGCACTGGGGCTCTGTTTTCTCAGGTGAGTAGTGACCCTGAAGTGGCACATCCCACAGGACAAGACAGCAAGGCATGGAAAGAAATGGCTTTTTTTTTTTTCCTTCTTCAAATTCTTCCTAAAATTGTAGGACTGCTTTAAAAATACCTCTTCTGGAAATGTCAACTGTCTAGCCCCCTATCCTTTCTTTTTTCCACCCTTCATGTGCAAACGTGTATAGAAGACAGCGGATCCTGCTGTTATGCATCCACTAGCCACCAACATGATAGAGAAATAACGCTTTATACTTGCTGAGCACGAATTGCTACAGATGCCTACACTGGCTTTCTGCTCCTCCATGGCTGGCAGTAAAAACATTTTCACATAAAGAATTAAAAAGGCTAAATCCAAGGAAGAAGAGTATGCCAGAGTAAGAGTTGATCATGTGTAACCTGAGTTCAAGCCTTCTCCAGAAAAGTGTACATCTTGCCTCTCTTCAAAATTGAATGTTCCCAAACTTGTTTTTCTTACCAAAAAAAAAAATAAATCAAACTCTCTAGATGGTTGTTCAGCTGATAGCTTAATAGATTAAGCCCTTTTAGTGGCACACATATCTCTGGGTATTTTAGGGAGGGTCTTGTAGTTTACGTAGGCTCTTTCATTCTTGTATACCTTTTCAAATTATCTGCTAAAAATTTCTCTAGCAGCACCTTCAGCTCCTGACTATGTTGTGTATTTATGAACTGAGCTGGTTTCTTAATCTCTTCTGGGTATCGCAAGCTCCTTGTGCTTGGCTGGTGCCTGACAGACCTCTGCTCTATGTATGGTTTGTGGTTTGAATGCTGCTGTTGGATGCTAGTGCTTGTTCAGGGTGAAATCACCAAAAAGGCAGAAGTGTTTCGGTATTATTCCACAAAGACTGCTTTCCCCAAACTGAAATCACAGAAGGACTGCAGGAGTGTAGTTGTTTTATTGAACGACACAACCTTGTTTTCCCATGGGGAGCCTAAAAACTGCCTTTTTGGAGAGACTGGGAGAGTCGAATGAGCTAATACGAAACACATTGTCTGCTGGTATTAGAGTTTTAAAGCTAAAATTTTACCATTCCATAGGCTGATTGGAAGCCACCATAATTCATGTACGAGCATGAAATAAGGCGCAGAATGTTTGAGGCCTCTCAAGGGTATTTGATGAATCTGACTTTCATTTAAAAGTACTAATAGATTATTGATTCAAGGAGGATGGCTGTGCAGAGATCAATAACAGAGCACACTCTTAAATACCAAAAATTACTGTTGAAAAGAAATGATCATTCTCATCTCTGTTTTCTTTAAGAAAAAAAAAACTTCATTAAAGTTTGCTTGGTGCAGGAGGAACCTGTAGATTTTTGGTTTACCATGGTTTGGTGTATTTAATGCTGAAAAAGAGAAGTATGGTTCTGGACATTGTCTTAACATCACAATTTATGGAGCCACATGTTGTCTTACTTTTCTGCTTTTTCACAGCCTCGTTATTGTTAGATTTAGAAATAAATTGTTCCCGTTGGAAAGATATTTCTTTGCTTAGAATCAGACCCTTTAATGCTTCCCTCTAACATTTATATTCTCCTCAAGAAATGTCTGTCCTTGAAGTTGATAGTAGCTTAACCCAAGTGAAAATGGCAGAAAGGGGCCCTTCTCTCGCAAGTAATCAGCAGCTGCTTCATGCCCTGTGATCCCCTCTGTGAATTCTGCAGAACACAAGTTGGTAATGAATCATGAGTTTAATACAAATGTATCATCTTTGTAATCTGAAAAATATCATGTACAGTAAATCTTGTGTAAGATTTTCCATTGAGTAATATTCTTTAGGGCCTGCCGTTAGTGCTCTTGAGATTTAGCTCTGCTGATAGTGCCTAATATTTCTGGATAGATCTGAGTTCACGGGTCTTGTCATTTCTGTGTATCTGTTGAAAAGTTAGAGGGATTTATCTAAGAAGCAGCAGAACGGCTAGGTGAAACATGAAAATGTATTGCACATCTACAATAAATATGAGGAATGATGACAGCATATCACAGAAAACTAATGCAGATGTTTTGGAAAGATGTAGTTCACATGTCTTATCTCGCATCACAGAGCTTTCATGTCCTTCCCCTGAAAAGGATAACTGGCTTTTCAGCAGGTTCAAAACAAATGACCTTCTAGAAATATTAAGGCAATAAAGGGATGTAGGGTCATAACGTTATAAGTAGCTTTTTCTCAGAGAGGTTTCCTGATGTTACAGATCCAAAGGCAGGTAAGGAAGTGTTGCTGGGTTGTCCTAGTTTTACAGATTTAAAAAAAAAAAAGAAATTTCTTGTTGATATCCAGCATGCACACATGGATCCCACACAATTCAGTAGGCTAAAACCAGAACATGAGCCCAAGGTTGTTGGAGCCTGCTAAGAGATTCAAGTCATATATCTGATGTGAGCTGAAGCTTTTGTGGTGTTGAGTAGCTGGATCATGAAAAATGATCAGGTACTTAAAAATAAGCTTTTGAGGCTATAGCATGTAGTCCTGTCACTACTGGCCTTACTTTAGTTCACTTTAAATTTTGCTAGGCAGAACAAATTAATGTTTATTATAGAAAGAAAAATATGGGCCAGTTTGCTAGTTATAATACAGTAAATAATTACTAATTTAAAATTCATTCATGAATCATTCATTTGTGTGTGTTTTTTCTTTTGTAGCAGTTGAAACTCAGAGCACCAGTTCTGAGGAACTTGTTCCGAGCCCTCCTTCACCACTTCCACCCCCTCGTGTTTACAAGCCCTGTTTTGTCTGTCAAGACAAGTCATCCGGATATCACTATGGTGTCAGTGCTTGTGAGGGATGTAAGGTGAGTGCCATCATCTCCCTTTCCTCTTATAGGACTACATTCGATTTTAGAGAGGAGCAAAGCAATAAAATTTGGTGTGAGTTGATTGTCTGCAGACATGCCTATACCTTTCTTGTGTGAATTAATTCTGATTCGTGAGCAAAGCCAAGTAAATTACCATCATGCCTGGAATTATTTCCCTTCATAACTTCTGCCAAAATATGTCTTTAAGGGACTTCCATGTGTATTGACTAATATGAGAATTTGATTATAGATGCAGAGATAATCAAAGAATAAAGTGAAAACACATTAAGACTCTTCACTGTCCATCTGTAGGTCAGGTATACCCTGAGAACTCACACAGCTGGTGTCTGCTCTGAGCCTGTTTTTTTCTGTGCACTGCTTCCTCTGTGTATCCAGGGAGTAGAATTTGGGAACAGAATCTGATCATCTGGAAATTTTTTGCATAGTCTCTAACTATCTAACTAATCTCGAATCAAATTAGGAATTTGAGGATTAGCAGGTTGGTATTTGCAAAATTTATTCTAGCAGACTACAGTGCTGACTACATCAGCTGTGATTGTCAGAGCATGAATTAACAATTAAAATTAAAGGTCTTTTCCAACCAAAACCATTCTGTAATTCTATTCTATGACTATCCATAGGATGCAGTAATACGACACACTGTTCTAAAGCAGAGGAGGTCTAAAGATGAGATACACACCAGAGAAGCAATGGCAGCTAAACTATGTGTGTATGGCAGCAATGAGAGATGTACAGACAGGGAATGTTATGCATGCAAGGAAGAAGGTAGTGTGAAAAATGCTAAAGAAAAGATATCATAGGATAGAAGCTCTCAGAGTTAACTTTATTAGTTATGACACCCTAGTGCAATGCTTTATTTTAACAGTTAAAGGCCTATGATTTTTATACTTCAAATTAAAATAATTATGTAGTGCTTAGTATAGTGAAGATACTAATGCATGCCAAAAATGTGACAGGAGCTCTAGCCATTGTAAATAGTTACTTAAATAAGTTAAGAAAAGATATTTTGCTCATTTATTTTTGTGAAATGTTACAGTATTTTTCAGATACTGTACAGTTTTCCATCTTTACTTTAGCCTTTGAATCTGCAGCTTCTTCCATGCTACTGGCCTTTTGTAGTGACATTTTGTCATCTAGGGTTTGTGTTATTAGGCAAAAAACTATGGGATTGAAGTCTGGTCCTCCCCTATTTTGTAATATGGATACTGAAGTAGTGAGAGTAAGTATTTAAGCTCACCTCAGTTTTAGAATCTCTTTCTGGTATTGAGGTTTTCCTTGGATATCACATCTGTATTTTTTTCTTTTAGATGCCAAAAAACTATCAAAACTTAAGTGTCTGTTAGGAAGAACTATGGTGAGGATATTCTGTAGCTGATTTCATTAAATAGGAAATCTCATCATACTCGGATACTAACACACAAATGGTGGTGTCGTTTGCTCCCCCACATGCTCTCTCTAAGCGCAGATGTAATTGCAGACTGTGGCAGAAAGGTCACATGTGCCTAAGACTTCATTATTTTTGAAAAATATGCAAAAGTATACTGTAGAGCTTTCATTGGCATATTGCAAAGCGTTTTCATAAATAATTAAAGCAAGACCACACTTGTCAAAATACATGAACAAATCCATCTTGTAATGTGTTAGGCATTATTCAACAACAATAAAAAAAATGTTGGCTTATTTGCTGATTTGCAAGATGGGGTAATCCAGCACTTAGCAAGAGCTGCTGTTAAAAGATTTTAAAAAAGAAAGATTAGCTACATACAAAACCTGTCAGCCTAAGAGAAATAACAAGATTCCAAAGCAGTCACTTGGCTGCTTGAGAGTGGTGATATTTGGGTTAGTTGACGCTAGCTTTTCAACAGGTTTGACTAGGGTTTTATGAATCTGTTCTAATGATTGAGTCAGCGTCCTCAGTGAGTGCCAGGAACTGGCAAAGAACACAGTGAGACCACTGAGTCAACTACTGGTCCCTTTGGTGGTCAGTAATTTGCCACATTTGCTGTTGAAAGTTGTTGGAGCTTTCAGGTCAACAGCAGTGATGTGCTGGATGACAGCAGTCCGTGACCACACCACCAGAGACAGCCTCAGAAGCCTCTACATTGCCAATTTCTACTTTTTCTCTGAAGAATGTTACCCTTTTCTCTTGAACCCTTTTGGGCTGTTTAGTTTATTTTTCTTTCCCTTCATCTTTGCTCTATGCATGCTTTTCACACATTCATTTCTTGGTCCTGTACCATAAGAAAGCTGCCACCTTGTACTCCTTACTTCAAACCATCCAGGCTCCTGCCCATACTCAGGTCTGCCTTCACTCTCAGTTCCCAATATCAGTTCTTTGTGCTTCTCTTTCTCTTCAGCCTTCTTCATACAAAAATTTAGTCAGCTGCTTTGCGAGTTTAAATGAGCATGGAGCACTGCCACTGAGGAAGTCTCGTCTCCTGTGGGATCCCTGCCTTTCAGTTAGTTGACCCAGGTTTATTAGAGAGCCTGTGTTTCACTGAAAGCTTCTGCGTCGTACAGAGCTGGTGTTTTGTGCTGATTCTCTGGTGAATCAGGGAGCAGTAATAAGGAAGAATTCATGATACAGCCTTTTGTCTAGTTAGGAAACACAAATTTATTTCTCCTTTACCTCAGTGCACATCTCTGTGCAGTTTCAAATAGCTTTTTCTTTGAGATTTTCAGTTTCACTGAAGCTGACCAGCGTGTTCAAAAGCTATTGGGATGAGGAGGCAACCTCACTTGGTTTACAGCTGGTTTACACAAAGCTCATTCCATAGGAAGCTAGACTAAAATAGCAGCCAAATCAAGTATTATCTTTTTTCCTCTTTTCTTCTGGCTTTGTTTCTATTTTCTCTTCGTTTTTATTTCCACCATTTCTTTCTTCACCTGATTTGCAATCTCTGTTCAGTGATACTAAACCTTAAATTCACATTTTTTTTTTCCCTCCTGCATTGCACCTCCCTCTGCTCTGAGGTCCTTTTCTCAAGGCTTTTCCTCTTTCTTTTCTGACTCGTTTACCTTTCCCTTCAAACTCCTGGCAGTCTTGTTTCTCAAGGGAAACTCAAATGGAAAACTCTGCTCGTATCAGATTTATCTAACTTGGACTCCATTTCTTTTGTTTTCCTGTGCTGGCTCTCCCATGGTTTTCTCGTGCTTTTCTGTTTCCTTCTCCTTTGCCTTTCTGCTTTGAGCTCCAGTGAAGCTGCCATCACAGTGATCATTAGCTGTCTCCATTTAATGCAAAGGGACAGCTTTCTGTCCTCAAGGATTTGGGCTGATGACTGCCTTTGATTCAGCAGACTTTCTTTTTCCTGCCTTTCAGGGCTCCTTAGATCCTCCTCCTACTTTGCTTACTGTTTATCCAATGCCTCCTTGAATGGCTCTTTATCCGCTTCCTGATGCTGTTCCCTGAGGTTCAGTTCTTTAGTTTTCTGTCTGAAAAGCATCACCTACTAAACTGGTTTATGGCAGACCAATGGAGGAAGTGACGGCAATATTCTGCTCATAAAAGATGTATTTTTAGTGGGGACCCTTCCAGCCAGGAGCCCTGGGGAGCTGTGGATGGTGATTATGACTTTCTGATGCTCAGTTTGGGAAACACTGCACTGGAAATTTTATCTTCCCTAAGTTGTCACCAACCCATGGACGCGTTCCAAATTTACCCCCATCTCTGGCCTCTCCCCTGCTGTCTTTCCCTGGTGAGTCCTCTTGCTCAACTCACTGCTACCTGGGACACAGAGTTCACGAAGGTAGAGCTTTCCATCTTCTCTCTTTGTGACATCACCAACTGTAATCTCATGGCATGCAGTTTCTCCAGACTTCATGCCATGATGACATCATTTCTGATCTGCAGCATTGTAATTCACACGATTTGATGTCTTTTTTTCCTTCAGAATCTGCCTTCAGCCGCCTTCATTGCCAAACCATTGCTGTGGTGGTCTTGCATGATGATTAAATTGGTCCCTTCTCCTGTTTTTCCTTCCCTTTTTCCCCCCCTCACTGTCATCCTTGGACCTTATTCTTTCAGATACCTGGGAAAAACCTCCCAACCTCCTTAGTCAAACACTTTCTCAGTATTCTAAGCACCCCTTTCTTAAATGATCCTTCTGTCTTATTAATTTCTAGAGTCTTCATTACTGCACCCCACTAAAAAGACTGTTCTGTGGCTTATTTTGATATATTAGTCTTTTAAGGTTTTTAGGGGCTGGCTTATTTCATTTTATGCACTTATGAAACACAGTGATAGTTTAGGAGCTGTCTAAATAATTTTAAGCTATCTTTGTTTTCCATTTTTGGGGTGTTCATGCTGAAAACTTTATTTGTGATTACAGATTTAGATTAGCTGACTTCTTGCCTTTCAAATTTGAAATCTGGCAGCTTTCAGAAGGTTGATATTGTCGGCTTTCTCTCAATTTGGTCAGCCAAATTCAGCAGTCAGGATTTTTTTTTGTGTTTTAAAATGACTTTAAAAAAATCTTGGCTTTGTGTTTAATTTTGGGTGTTACGCAGCAAAAGGCTTTTGTGCATCATAGCCTGTCAGTGGCTTTGTGTGTGTTTTAGGATCCCAAAACCAAACTGATCTTCACAGTGTGCTTGTATTTTGTAAGAAAAATTCCAGAGCCGCTCCATCTTTTTATGTGAAGAATACAATACATTGACAATATCCAGCTTATTTACAACTTTTCTGTTTTGTAAACTGTGTGGCATTTCAGAGGCGGGTTTTGGAATCTACTCGTGTTTTTCATTACCTCAGTTAAAGACTTCTGAAATCTCTCCCCCCTACCCCCCTCCTCCCCAGTCGCTGGGTGTTGCTAGATAGCACGCAAACAAATTCCATCCAAAATGATCAACTTGGATTTATCCAGCTGGTACAAGCGGTTACAGGGCTGGCTGTCACCGAAAGCTCAGCGCTTTGGTCCCGACTTGACTCGTCGTCATAGCCGGGGTTGCAGGAAGGGAGACAGAGCGTAGTGGGC